CCATTTTCGTGGTTTCCGAGGTAATAATTTACCCGCCAAAATTTTCATGCGGTCGTGGGTGATACCTGAGAGCGCAGAAATGCTGAAAGTGAATTTACATAATCGTGCGTGGGCAAGGGATCATTACTTCAAAATTTCAGCTTACTAGATCTCGTGGTTCCTAAGATAATAATTTACCCACCAGAATTTTACCCACCGTTCGTGCTGTCCGCGGGCGGAAGGCTAAATTTAAATTTTCTGGATCGCATTTAGGCAGCGGACATGCCCACAAAATTTCAGCCTTCTAGTTTCCGGAGTTCCCATGGTAATAATTTTACCCGCCAAAACTTTTACGGAGCAGTATATGTTACCCGGGGGCAAGGGAAAGCCGAATTTAAATTTTCTAGGTGGCACATAGGCGGGACACATGCCCACTAAATTTCAGCCTTCTAGTTTCCTTGGTTCCCGTGATAATAATTTTACCCACCCAATCTTTTACGAGGCCGTACGTGTTATCCGCGAGTACTGGGAGGATGAATTAAATTTGCGGGGTCACACACGGGTACGGAACATTCCCCTAAATTTTTAGCTTCCTAGCTTTTGTGATCTCCGAGTTAAAAGTTGCAGACAAGTTGCTGCGGACACAGACACAGACACACACACACAAACACACACAGACAGCCCCATAATAATATGCTTTTTGTACTGCTGTTACACAGCACAAAATAAATAATAAATCGAATGCTTTAAGATTTCCTTTCCAGCTTTTGAATACTGGGATGCACACAAGGATAACACCTCAGCACGATGCACTTTTTAACTAACATAAGTTGAAATGCGTAAAGTGATTACATTGGGAAACACTCAAAAAATTTTATTTCAATGCCCACCCTTGACTGAACAACTGTTCTTCCTTTTTGTTCCATAGGTGTGCGACGAGATTCGACGTTCAGTGTTGCGCCGGATCGCGCTTCACCTGCTTCGTTCTGCAATTACAACCCAGACGTGATCACAGTTTTACGCCACACTTGTAATTGTTGGATATGAAAAAACAGAAACTGCGCAGTGTATCTGCACAAGAAAATGCACCTCAGCAATAACAGTGTACATTCCGGAATGCTCGGGGCGAGTATTCTCAATCAAAACCCGGTGCCATCTGCTGATTTCCTCCTCAACGCGCGTTTCCGGTGTTGCATGCAAAGGCTCGTCGTTGTACTTCCAATAAACAGTTGGAGGTGGCTCACCGAATACGCGCACCTCAAAAGTAAATAGATATGCATTCACTTGGAAGCGCCAAATCCCCAGGCTTTTTTATTTAAGTTTTTTTTT